CTGTCTTATTAAATTGGAACAAAAAGGATCGGTTTGCCTTGGACTCTGATTTAATTCTGCATGATACTTGGAACACTGACAGTCAGCATATTGCCCCCCAACAATCTGGGTCCTCATTTTACCCATCTCAGAAGGATGGAAGGCTGAGTCAAACCTGGTGAGATTTGAACTGCCAAATTGCAGGCAGCCGTTAGTCAGCAGAAGTAGCCTGCAGTACTGCACTCTAACCACTGCACCACCGTGGCTTGTGAATATATTGTGAATGTTATTCTTAAAAGTGGAGGCAACAGAACAAGGGTAGAAATTACATGCAATAATAGCTATATCTAAAAAATACAATTAAATACATTTAACATTATTGTTTCCTTAATAAGATTCCCTTTCTATCGTATTAGTATGAAAAATTGCTTCCTACTAGAATGAAGATTTGCATTCAGTTATTAGCAAAGAGATAACATAATTGACTAATGTTGCCTTTTTATAAAGAAAAGTGACATGTGATGTGAGAGAGTAATTTTTTAAACATAAAAAGATTGTGCTATAAAGCTATAAAAAGGTATAGCTTAACATTGTCTGATGAATTAAGTTTATATTCTTGGAAAGAAAATGGAAGTCAATTGTTAATTTCTGTCTGCAAACTCCTTTCCCCTGTGTCCCAGGGCAAAGATAAAGAATATTATGAAATGAGTGGCTAGACTTGATCAGATATAATGTGTTCGCACTTGGACTATGCTTTGCAAAATGCCTGTGGAGATCAAGATGAATAAAGTTAGCGGAGTCTCAAAGAAACTACTTTATTTCAGTCTTCAGTGACAAAGTAGAATATTTTTTCCCATGGATTCACAGTCCCAAAATATCATAAAAAAAGATAAAGGACTGCTTTAAAATATCAGGCAATGAGTCATGTCCCACCACACAAAAGCCAAAATCATAATTATAAAAGAAGACTAAGAAAATATGACATATACAGTAGCAGGACTATCGATTAAGAAGCTCTGTGACTATAATGTAAAATACATAAATTGCCTGTTTCTTTTCTGGAAAAATAATGGGATCACTGCATAGATAGACACATAACTCATATATTTCATCAACATCTGTTTTAAAATATCTATTGGATACAAATTAATTACAAAATTCTCCATTCTTGGGAAATAGATATTTTAGTCACTGACTTTTCTATTCCAAAGCCAATTCCTGCCATATGTATTATGGAAACACTCTGTTGGCTCTGTTTTATTTTATTTTATTTATTTTGATGTGGAGAGATTCCACTGGAATAAGAAAATCGTTGAATCCAACTCCTTATTTTAAATTTCCCTAAATAATAAATACATTTGTTTTGGACACAGGTTAAGATATTGCTCACCATTTCAAATACTGTAGATTTTAAATGATGTTATATCAATTATGTCCAGAAATGACTTTGTCTACATATTTTTACTTACTGATTCACATTTTTGGGAACAATTAACTATTGCCAGATTCATAGTGTGAAATCCAGTGTTAGGGTCTCTTTCTTGTAAACACTTTGCCGTATAACAAAGTTCTCCATCCAAATATTGAATCAATGTCTGACCTGGGTTCAGTACAGTGACTTCTTGGAATATACAGACATTTTCTTTTTCTAGGGAGAGAAGGAAGGAAGGAAGGAAGGAAGGAAGGAAGGAAGGAAGGAAGGAAGGAAGGAAGGAAGGAAATAGAATGTGCAGAACAAAAGTACGATTTAGTATCTTTTTTTTTTCACATACAGTGAGAAATGTTTGGTGATCAACTATGATTTATTTGCAAAGTTCCATGGCTGATGCTTAGAGCTTAGTATTAGTGTGACCTTGGATAGTATTATGTATTATTTGTATTTTATTCTTTTCCTTGCATACTGCCCTGATACTTTATGATAAATGGGAATTTAATAATATTTAAGGCATAGCTAAGGTCTTAATGGAATATAAATAACATAATATACAGTATTTAGCAATCTACTACAATTGCTCTTAGCCAAAAGGCTGAGAAGTGATAGCAATCTATGTATTATCATTCCCTTAATAAATTTAACACTACTAAAGAACAGAAAGCAGAATGCTAGTTCATGAATATTTCTGTCTAACAGAATCTCTCCCTTTTTTATTTTAAGCTAGAAAACTACTGAAAATTGTAAGGACATGAAGTGTGTAGGGATTGCCTTCATAACTATGTTACTGAAAATGAAATATTTAAAAAGTTATTAAAAATAATGCTCATAGGCATGCATGCGTATGCACATGCACAACACATATAGACATATGTACATACCACAAATGTAATGTGGACATCCACATGCCGTAGAAGCATTAGCACTTATTTTCTGAACTTCACCCTATGAAATATTTCAATGATACATTTGTTCAATTGCACACATACACGTACTTTCATTTGTAAGAAAGTAAACAATTACATAAAAATTACCAAATGCATTTTAGCAGCAAAATATTGTTTCATATTTGATTACAAGTTTGGAGGAACCATTAGGCCACTTGCCCATATTAAGAGCACTAGGTCCATTTCCTCCTAACAATTGTCACAATTGTTTTTTCTACAAAACTCAAACTACATTGATATTCACCAGAAATGAGAAAGTCAAATTGGAGCTGCTGTTGCTTTTCAATCTTGTTACAGCTGCATATTCAGGGAAGGCAACTAAACAGGTGTAATTGCAGGGAGTCCACAAAATGTAATTAAAAATAGCAATCATGAGTGTGTGATCAAATATCTGACCATTTGTGTGTGTGTGTCACAACTATATAAAAGGCCAATTGGTTGATTGATCAATGCTGTGAATGTTTTTGTAGGTGTTAGGTTGCCCCAAGGCATTCTATAGGGTTAGGTTTAGAGTTCTATAGCATAATATACCTCTATCTATCTATCTATCTATCTATCTATCTATCTATCTATCTATCTATCTATCTATCATCTATCATCTATCATCTATCATCTATCATCTATCTATCATCTATCTATCATCTATCTCTAATTTACTGTCTATATATGTGTCATTATTCATTTATGGCCCATATTTCTGTGACTTTCTACACTCAGTCTCAGCCTTCTTTACAGGCATTCTCATTTTAACATTGCTTTGACATGGATTGGCTACAGAACTATTTCTGAAAGCTTATTTAACAAGTGTCAGTGTTTACCAACATTCTGCTACTTATATCTATCATTAGCTCTGATTTTATCAGAATTCACTGCACAGTATATCTCAGTTCTGACAAGATATTTTCATTTCATACAATGATATACCATAATTTTATTTATTTTACATGATTTGAAAACTTATAATTGCTGTCATTGTAGGATAGGGTAGCATAGAAACATTTAAAATGGGGAAAAAAAGAATTCCAAAAGTATTATAAAAGTAAACATTTCTTACCAACTTACAGCTTGGTACAGTACCATTCTCACAATCACATTCTGGGGAAAATAAGAGAGGGGGGTTCACTATGACCATATCAATAGAAGTTGCATTTTATTCATTTATATAATTATGAGGAAAAAGCAAATTATAGATACCGCAATTCCAGTCTGGGCAACACTGTCCAAGAACTCTTTTTTTAATCAGTTTCATATCAGCAGAGCAATTCAGAAAAGGTGAAGGACACAGATTCTCTTCACATACTAGAGAAAGAGAAATTATGTCTTTAAAAGATTGTTGCCACAATATCACTAGAAAAAATAAACATATAAAACTTTTCTCTATTATATTATTATTTCTACTATTCTACTATTTATATTATATTATTATTGCTACCTGCCATCTTAAATTAATGGTTTGAAAATGAATAATCATTTTAGGTTCAAGTAATCAACAATAATTTTGAGGTTTCAATAGCTGAACACATTTCATATCACAAACTGTTTTAGATAAAGGAGAAAACCTTACTCATGATGACTCAAATCTATTAATTATAAAGTGTAGAAAATAGTTGCTTGCAAAACAAAACCCCAAAGCATCACACCAAATAAATACATAACTCTTCATCACTGTTTTGGTATCAGATATTTCCCATTGAATGCCAAAGATAGACACCAGGTCTACCAGGATATCTAGAAGTTTAGATATCAGCGTTAAATTTAAAAAATCTAAAGTAAAACTGCAAATATGTGCAGCTGGCTGTTGTTTTTGTTCTTTCTGCCATTGGCAACCCTTGAGATAAGGAGCAATTCATTTAGGTTATACATGCTTAGATTTTGAATAGTTGTACATAGCTACATATTTTTGCCTGATTATTTTCCTGAATTTTTAGAATAGCAATTATCTTAGCAATAATATAATAATTGACTCTACCTTCATGGCAGCTGCATTATAACAATACTGTATTTATTACAAGCCTAAGTATAAATTTATGTCAGAATACAAAGAAAAAGCCCAATAAAACAAATAATAATCTTTCCAAGATATTTAATCCAACACAAAACTTACCACAGTGATAATGAGGACAACAGTAATGTGCAGTACTAAGATCTACTGCAAGAAGTTCTTCTTCATTGCATTCTGGAATAGGTTCAATGCAAGATTCACAGACTTCAAGAGAAACATAAACATAGTGTAATATATATATATTGTAATGTATATACAGATATATTCACACAAAGACAAACACAAAGACAAAATACATACCTATTTCCCTAGCTCAGATGATAAAGGAGGAGAACCTTGTGGCTTAGTGGTTAACACATCTGCCTAATATGTAACACAGCC